CCCCCCACGTCTGCAGGGTATACAGTAGAGGCCCCGACGTAGGGCCCGTTCCAAGAATGTCGGCGTTGTCAGTGGGCACAGTCTGAGGTACTGCTGGACCAGTTGATTTTGTGCTTTGAACAGCAGTGCCTGTGTCGGGTATACATATGCCAGTCAAACCCCTGGGCACTTTACCCGCCAAAACTGTAGCCTGTATCTAGTGGGGGGGGAGGGGGGAGGGGCATGCTCAGACACTGATTGAGTGAGGTGGCTGGGGCTCGAGCTCGCCTTAGTCGAAACACGGAGCCCCCGATGTTTTTCATGTTTTGTCCTTGATGCTTTTTAAGTCGGAAGTCCTGTCGCAAACTTCGTGTCGCGGACCCGCACACCTACAAAACCGCACACGCATCTTTTGTTTTGTTATATCCGAATGGCGAAAGTAGGAAATCATCATCAGCCGTGTTGCTGTACCACGGTCCACACACAAGCCGGCCTTTCCTATTATTACAGGAGGTCCGCACAACGGTCAGGTATGAATGACCATGTGTCGCGACCTGTAGTCTACTTGAAAAAACCTTGTGTTTAGGAGCGTGGCTGCTGGCATGAATAGGGTACATCTTGTTGTTGATTGGATGTGGGTCGGTCAGGAGGCATACCCTTCTGAACCCTACCCCCTTAGAATTGTCTATCTCTGTGTACCCCATGAGATGAAGCTGGATCCCCCACTTCATCTCAGACCCTTGCTGATCGTCTCTCAGCAACAACAAGCAACTGTTCCATCTCAACGTGGTCGTGGACAAGTGTGTCAACGACAAAACCTTCATCTATCTCTAGGAGCAAGCTACCGCCCACGGCTTCACCTCCATAAAACTTGGCGTCAGCGGCAGGATATGAACCTACGCGTAATATCACAATGGGTTTCTAATCCAAGGTCCCAGTCCTGCAGGCGCTTAGCAAAAGCATCGCAAGCCAGCATCTCTACAGGAGAAGAAGCAAAGAGGCGAAGTCTAGATTCTCGTGGGTGGTGAGACCAAATAACAAGCAACCCAGTGGTTGTGAAGAAAGCGTGGCAACAACACACAGCAGTGTGGAAGCCGCGTCCAGCACCCGCTTACCGTGTGATGCCAGCTGGCGCCAAGTTTCAAGGAAGTGAAGCCGTGGGCGGTAGCTTGCTCCTAGAGATAGATGAAGGTTTTGTCGTTGACACACTTGTTGAGTATTCTGACGTGTTCTCTACTTCGAAAACCGATTTTGGTTCCTGCACCATCATGCCGTCACTCTTTCTGTCCCAGCAGGGACGAAGCCCGTTGCATCACGTCCGCATCGTATCAACCCGTTGATGCAAAAGAAAGAGGATGCCATTTTAGACCAGTATTTGGCGGCAGGGCTCATTCAGTATTCCACGTCTCCGTGGGCTTCTCCTTTGGTTGTCATCCCCAGAAGGACGGATCGGTTCGCATCACCGTCAACTACAAGCGTCTCAACGCCCTGGTGGATTTGGATGGCCAACCTCTCCCTCGGGTGGACGATATCTTGGATTCTCTGTACATCGGGAAAGTGTTCTCCATCTTCGACCTCAACTCGGTCTTCCACCAGATCGTTTGCGATGAAGACACTGTCCCGCTCACCGCCTTTTGCACTCCCACGCTCTTGTTCGAATGGCTTCGAATGCCGCAGGGAGCCAACGCAAGTCTGTCTTGGTTCGTCAAGGTCATCAACAGAGTGGTGCACGGTCTGGAGCATGTGCTTGCGTATCTCGACGATATCATCTGTTTCGATGAGGAACCTCTGGGACACGTGCTCAACACGACAGGGTTCTTCAAAGCTGCGACAGGACAACCTCAAACTGTCTCCGGGGAAGGCTCGCGTCGGCGCCACACACGCCAACTTCCTCGGTCACATCATCTCTCCGGCCAGTGTTAGCCCTGATGGCGTCAAGGTTAGGGCGCTCACGCACATGCCGCCGNATGTGCTTGCGTATCTCGACGATATCATCTGTTTCGATGAGGAACCTCTGGGACACGTGCTCAACACGACAGGGTTCTTCAAAGCTGCGACAGGACAACCTCAAACTGTCTCCGGGGAAGGCTCGCGTCGGCGCCACACACGCCAACTTCCTCGGTCACATCATCTCTCCGGCCAGTGTTAGCCCTGATGGCGTCAAGGTTAGGGCGCTCACGCACATGCCGCCGCCGACGAATGTTAAGCAGCTTCGGAGCCTTCTCGGTGGACTCAGTTACTACCAGATATTCCTCAAGAATCTCGCCACCAAGGTGCGGCCTCTCAACTCTCTTCTCAAACAAGGCGTTCCCTTCAAGTTCACCCCGGGCATGGTCAAGGTTGTCAAATCGTTGCTAAGCGAATTCGCTCGTCCCCCGATTTTGGTCTTCGCGGATTGGGCAGCGGTCGAGGACGACAGCCGTCCTCTTCGTTTGTGTTCCGACGCGTGTATCGACGGCTTTGGCGCCTCCTTGGAACAAGAACAACTCGATGGCTCGGTGAGACCCATTGTGTACGTCAGCCGCGCTGCTCTTCTTGCGGAGCGTAACTGGACCGTTCTAGATCTGGGGGCTGGTGGCATTGTTTGGGCCATCAAACGCCTTCGCGGTTATCTGTGGTCGACCAAGTTCATCATCTCTTCGGACCACAAAGCCTTGGAGAGCATTGGTAAGGTTGGGGAACACAACGCTAGGGTACAACGATGGATCGAATTCCTATCCAACTTCACTACACCCTAACATATCGGAAAGGTTCGGCAAGCGGCAACGCGGATTTTCATTCGCGGCTGCCTTTACCAGCACAAGACACGGACAAAACCGGCCCCGACTGCATTGATGGTGTTGATCAAGCGGATGTTTTCCTCATTCGGGCTTGCGGGCGCAACTATCACTCGTCGTCTACGCCAGCGGGGGCGGTTTGGGTGGGCTCCGCCCTCCTTGCCCGGCGGGAGTCTGTTGAAGTCTGTTCCCCCCCCACCGCTCCAGCCTTCCGATTTTGGGGATTTTCGCCGACATCACCCGCGTCGGTTGGATACTCTGATGGACTCAACGATTGCCTGCGAGGATTCCCGGCGGTCTCCGGGGGTGTTCATCGTTTCGTCTGTTCCCGGATGTTGAGGGCCTGTTTCTCCTTTGACTCCTGCTGCGTGCCGCGTGATGTCTCCTGTCGCGTCTTTGGCGACTAGATATGTGCACGTTTTGTCTTCTCTTCCGGAGCGGGGACCGCTCATTTCTTCACGGACTCGGGCCAAGACTACGGCTGCTTCCGGAGGCACCGTCACCGGTTCCGCTTATTTCGGACGCCAGCCGCGGGCTACCATTGTCCCTCGGACATCGTCGCCTGCCCGTCGCTCTAGCAGGTCCCGCTCGACAAACAAGACCACCCGGACCGCCGCGCGTCTGCTGCCGCCATCCGCAACGCCGGCATCAGCGTTTCCGCCGACTGCTCTTGCGCCATCGGTGTCTTCGCCGTTAGCGGCGCGCCCTGCATCCCCGACTTCGCCTTTTCTACAGGTTTCGCCCGGTACTTCGCCACTCACGATGTCCCCTTCGCGGACGTCACCCGGGAGTGCGGCTGCCCCAGTCGCTGAGGCTTCGCCTTCTTCCGCCTCTTCCATTGGATCGCCTGATTTTTTTTCGGAATCTTCTGATTCGGACACCTCCCACTTGCGGGCTTGTGTTCAGATTTTCAGCACTGTGGACTGGGCTAGGGAACAGCAGCGGGAGAGCGAGTGTGTGGTGGCTATGCGTTTTTTGTCTCGCGGTTCTCCCTCCCCACCCCCTCCGGGCTTGCTCACTCTCTGTGCTCCTCTTCGCTCCCCTCGGCTAGATGATTGGCTTGTGTTGGCGGCGAAAACCAGACTGCACACGACCGACGACAACATCATCACCCTCTTCGTACATAAATCGGCGACGTCGCCGGTTGGGCGCTCTGGCGGCAGGACCACTCGTCTGCCGGATACTGGCGTGCCCCGTGTCTACGTGCCAATGCTGATGCGTCCGTGGGTCCTTCATGCATGCCATACGGCCGCGTCATTCCATCTCGGCGTCCATCGCATACAGCGTCTGCTCGATCGAGCGTTTCAACTGGTGGATTGGTTTGGATTGTTTCGTGCACTGGTGGCTTCGGGCGTGTTTGGTGTGTCAAGCTCGCAAGACTTCACGTCAGACTGCTCGGTGGCCCGTCATCGCTATGCCATTGCCGCAGGGGCCTGGTACGGTCGTCGGCGTCGACTTCTTCGGACCTCTGCCAGTGACTGCCAAGGGCAACTCCTACATTTTGTTGTTCACAGACCGTTTCAGT